GGAATATTATTGCTTTTTAAATTTTGACTCATGTGCTTTTAACTTGTTAGCTAAATTTGCGTCTTCTAGGCTGCAACGCTTCCATGATACATCTTCAAGGATATGAACATGTATGGCTAAGCACAATTGATAACAGTGCATCTAAATTCCAAAATCAATCTCCGTAATAGCCTATGTGTTTCCTACTGCCAAAGGGGCCCTTTAGAGTAGTGAGAGAAGATCTTCACCCTGAAACCCACAGCGTCCCTTTTCAGCAGGAAGTAGCTAAGAGAATATGCCATCCCCTTTTCCTTATAAATCAGGGTGAAGTCTCTCTCAGGGAGGAGTTATAGGGAATGGCAGAGGACACACTGGCAAAGCAGATTAATCAGAACTGGCTTAGACAAGAACTGTGGCAACTGGACAATTAAAACAGACATTCAAGGGGTGGGGGAAGAAGAAAGAACTGGGGAGGAGGGTAGAGAAAACAGTGCAACAATGAATGAATGAAAACCCAAAATCTCAGTAAATGTTCATTAAAACTAATAAAATAAAAGAAAAAGAAAAAAGATGCATTGATAATAATGGGTGACTGGTATGCAAAAGTTGGGAACAGAGAAGAAGATTCAGTAGTTGGAAAACATGGACTCAGTGACAGAAATGGAGCTGGAGAGAGAATGATAGAATTTTGCACAATCAATGACTTATTCATAGCAAATACGTTTTTTAAGAGACATAAACGGAGGTTATATACTTGGATTTCACGTGGTGGTATGCATAGGAGTCAGATCGATTACATCTGTGGAAAGAACCGCTGGAGAAGCTCAGTATCAACTGTGAAAATGAGACCAGGAGCTGATTGTGGAACAAACCACCAACTACTCATATGCAAGTTCAAGCAGAAGTTGAGGAAAATTAAACCAAATCCAAGGCAAACAAAATATGACTTTGAGTCTATCCCACCTGAATTTCAGAACCATCTCAGGAATAGGTTTGAGGCCTTGAACACTAATGAGCAAAGGCCAAATGAGTTGTGGGAGGATATCAAGGGCATCATCCAGGAAGAGTGCAAACGGTCATTGCAAAGACAGAAGAGGAAGAAAAGACGAAAATGAATGTCAGAAGAGACTCTGAAAATTGTACTGGAGCGCAGAGAAGCCAAAGTACAAGGAAGAATTCAAGATACTAAGGAGTTGAAAAGGAGATTTCATAAGGCAGCACGGGATGACAAAGCAAAATATTATTATGAAATGTGCAAGGAGCTGGAGTCAGAAAATCAAAAGGGCAGAACTCGCTTAGCATTTCTTAAGCTCAAGGAACTGAAGAACAAATTCAACGCTCGAGTTGCTATAATCAAGGATGCTTTTGGCAGAATGTTAAATGATCCAGGAAGTATTAAAAGAAGATGGAAAGAACATACTGAATCACTGTATCAAAAGGAATGGGCAGACACAGAAGAATTTC